TTAACTCACTTAAGCTTCATAAAAACCCTCATAGATTCTGAAGTTGACACCCAGGTTAAGTAGTTTGCTCAAGGTCACACAGCTAGTTAGAGGTAGAGTCTAATTTGAACTCAATCAGGCTCACTCTAGAGTCCATACTTATAAGTTCTTTTGATGATTTGATCAATTTTGATCATAAGTAAAAAATAAATAGTTTAAAAATAAAAAATAGATTAGTTGAAATGAGAAAAGTTCAAACCAAGAAAATAATGCTAGTGCTAGATTACTTGACAGGTAGACTATACCCCAGCGTAAGTCCCCAGCAAAGCAGGGAGTTTTGGTATTTTGAAAAAGCATTAATATAGTCATTGTGAGGAAAATCAGAACTTAGTTGGATATCCTCAAACTTATTTTACACTGTAATATTCTTTTTAGTTTGAACAATGTAAGACATCATAATCTTTTTCCATAGTTAGGATTTGTAGAAGTCTACATCTAGCCCTGTAGAGGGCTTCATAGTTTTATACTTAGAGTGAAGGGTAAAATATGATTATCAGAAGAATATTTCTTACCCCCCCTTCATTCCAAAAATAAGTAAACATTTAAAGTCACTAATTAGTTTTCAAGATTTCAGAGTGCAAAATTATTAAGAATTCTCTGCTTACATTCTAGGGCTTAAAATTACACTGAAATCATTAAGTTATTTTCAGGAATATTGAAAAACAATAACAAAACTTGGTGATTTTTATGTCCCTGTGTAACAAAATTCAACTGAGAAAATTTGAAGATCAGGTTGGCTTTTTCAACAACTCATCATTGGGCAGCATCCCATCTAGCAAGTAGAAATGAGGGCTGGAAGACTTTTATAACCAGAAGGGGGAAGAGATAAAGAAAGAGTGGGCACATTCCTGAAGAAGGTTGAAACTGCATTTAGGTTAAGTATTAAGACTTGGTGATACGAGCTTAGCTCAAGTGACTCCATTTTGGGCCTGTTGTTTCTTTTTTCTTTTTCTTTTTTTTTAAACCTGTTGTTTCTTTAAAAAAAAATTTTATTATTATTTGTTATTATTTTTAAATATTTTATTTATTTGACACAGAGAGAGAGCGCATAACCAGGGGGAACCACAGAGAGAGAGGGAGACACAGACTCCCTGCTGAGCAGGGAGCCCGATGCAGGGCTCAATCCCAGGACCCGGAGATAATGACCCGAGCTGAAGGCAGATGCTTAACCAGCTGAGCCACCCAGGCTCCCCAATTTTATTATCTATTTCAGAGATGGAGAGAGAAAAAGAAGCATGAGTGGGCAGAGGGAGAGAGGGAGAAGCAGACTCCTTTCTGAGCAGAGAACCCCATGTGGGGCTCCATCCCAGGATGCTGGGATAATGACCTAAGCTGAAGGCAGACACCTAACCTACTGAACCATCCAGGCACCCCTTGTTGTTGTTTTTTTTAAAGGGTTTTTCTTTTTTGTTTTTAATTTTATTTATTATTTGACAGAAAGTATAAGCAGGGGGAGCAGCAGGGAAAGGGAGAATCACACTCCTACTGAGCAGAGAGCCTGACAGGGGCCTCCAGCTGAGGGCCCTGGGATCATGACCTGAGCTGAAGGTAGACATTTAACTGCTTAATAACTGCTTAACTGGGGCGCCTAGGTGGCTCAGTGGGTTAAGGCCTCTGCCTTCAGCTCGGGTCATGATCCCAGGGTCCTGGGATCGAGCCCCACATCAGGCTCTCTGCTCAGTGGGGAGCCTGCTTCCTCCTCTCTCTCTGCCTGCCTCTCTGCCTCCTTGTGATTTCTGTCTGTCAAATAAATAGATAAATCTTAAAAAAAAAAAATAACTGCTTAACCAACTGAGCCATCCAGGTGCCGCCCCCCCCAATGCCCATTGATTTTTCTTAACAAATGTTAACAGGTTTTGTTTTTCTTTAGGAAGATTCGATTGATTTTTTTTTTAATTTAAAAGAAATATATGAAAACATGGCTAAAATAGGGGCTCCTGGGTCGCTCAGTGGGTTAAGCCTGTGCCTTTGGCTCAGATCATGATCTCAGGGTCCTGGGATTGAGTCCCGCATCGGGCTCTTTGGTCAGCAGGGAGCCTCCTTCCCCCTCTCTCTCTGCCTGTCTCTCTGCCTACTTGTGAACTCTCTCTCTTTGTGAAATAAATAAAAATCTTTAAAAAAAATGGCTAAAATATTGTGAAACTAGATCACAAGTTTAGCATTCCAGTAATCGTTGGCATTATTTTTTGCAATTCTCTGATATACAATTAGGTTATGCCCATTCCTCAGTCTGACTTATGGTCTTGCCAATTACATTCTGACTCATGGTTTTGCAACTTTTAAGCTAATGCCCTGTTTACCATTTCTGATTTCTGAATGCACTCATTTTCTACCAATTTGTCATTTGCCACTTTATGAATTCATTTATTTCATGTTAAGCCACCTGAAGCAAGTAAGAAGACAACTAGAATTTCTGAAATAAAAAATTAAGTTTAGAAATCACTAAGCAAATGTTGAATAATAAAACAAAATTACAAGAAAGCAACATATGTCATGGGATGAGCCAGAAAACTTTGTTTTGAATCCTACTCTTTGATACAGAAAACTATGAATTTGGTCAAGTTACTTAACTGATTTGAACCTCAATATTCTGAATTTGTAAAGCAGTAATAATAATATCCATCTTCGGGTGCCTGGGTGGCTCAGTGGTTTAAAGCATCTATCTTCAGCTCAGGTCATGATCCCAGGGTCCTGGGATCGAGCCGCAAATGGGGTTCTCTGCTCAGGAGGGAGCCTGCTTCCCCCCCGCCCCGCCTCTCTCTGCCTGCCTCTCTGCCTACTTGTGATCTCTGTCTGTCAAATAAATAAATAAAATCTTAAAAAAAAATAATATCCATCTTCTACCTTGTAGGATTGTTGGTGGTGTTTGGCATGTATTAGAGGTGGTATTTGTAAGGTACCTGATGTGGTGTGCTTGGCACATAGTCTTTATTGTTATGGGCAAACTAAAAATGTAAGGTTTAAAATGTCACAGCTATACCAGATACGCTAATCATAAATCAGCCTTTTCTTCCAGAGTCAAACCTGTTCTGACCATCATTAGGCTAATCTTGACCTAAAGTATTGCTCGTATTTAAAATTAAATACATTACTTCACATAAATTCGGGTGCCTGGGTGGCTCAATTGGTTGAGTATCTACCTTCCCCTAGGTCATGATCCCAGGGTCCTGGGATCCAGCCTTGCATGGGGCTCCCTGCTTGGTGGAGAGCCTGCTTCTTCTTCTTCCTCTGCTGCTCCCTCTGCTGTTCACCTTGCTCGTACTGTCTCTCACTCTCTCTCTCTCTCAAATAATAAATAAAATCTTTTAAAAAGTAAAAAAAAAAAAATAATTAAAAAGCTCTGTATAGTAAACTATCAAAAAACTGAAGACAACTTACCGAATGGGTGAAGACATTTGCAAATGATATATCCAATAAAACATTAGTATCCAAAATATATAAAGAACTGATACAACCCAACATAAAAATAACCCCAAATAATCCAATTAAAAAATGGACAAAAGACATGAACAGACATTTCTCCAAAGAAGATATGCAGATGGCCAGTGGACGCTTAAGATCCTCAACATCACTCATCATCAGGGAAATGCAAATCAAAACCACAATGAGATATCACCTCACACTTTGACCAGAATGGCTAAAATAACTCAAGAAACAGGTATTGGCAAGGCTATGGAGATACAGGAGCCCTCGTGCACTGTTGGTGGGAACACAAACTGGTTGAAGACAGTATAGAAGTTCCTCAAATAATTAGAAGTAGAATTACCATATGATCCAGTAATTCCACTACTGCATATTTACCCAAAGAATACAAAAATATTAATTCCAAAGGATGTACGCACTCTTATGATTATTGCAGCATTATTTACAAAAGCCAAATTATGGAAGCAGCCCAAGTATCCATCAATAGATGCATGGATAAAGATGTGAGACATACATACACACACTGGAATATTATTTTAGGCATTAAAAAAAAAAGAAATCTTGTCATTTGCAACAACATAGATAGAGCTAGAGAATAGTCTAGCTCCTAAGAATGTATAGAGTTGTTGAAACTATTATTGTATACCCGAAACTAACACTATGTTAACTGTACTGGAATTAAAATAAAATTTTAAAAAAGTAATACCTATTTTAAAAATACATGCTTTAATTTAAAAATAACCCAGCTGGATAGTTCATGCAATTTGAAAATTATATTTATTGATGAAAATTTAGAACTTAATACTAAATCTGCTTATTGGATTTTTATTCCTAAAACAAATTTTTCTAGGACTATGAGCATTTATATTTTTATTACGTTTCATCAACAACAAATTTACAAAAACACTAAGAAGAAAATAATGATCCTCCTTTGAAGTTTAAAAAAAATGCCTTTAAAATATTTTTATAAGAATTCCAAGGGGCACCTGGGTCGCTCAGTGGGTTAAGTGTCTGCCTTTGGCTCAGGTCATCATCCCAGTTTCCTGGGATTGAGCTATGCTCCCTGCTCAGTACGGAGTCTGCTTCTCCATTTCCCTTTCCCCCTGCCCCTGTGCGTGCGCTCATTCTCTCTCAAATAAATAAATAAAATCTTACAAAAAAATAATTCCTTTGATAAGTAAAACATCTCTTCATTTTAGGATCAGAGATAGTAAATTAAAAGTCAAATATCTTGCCTAGTGCTAGGAGATGGTTTTTTCTTTCTGGTATCTTACCTGGGAATAGACAAGAAATAGAATTTTAAAAAATACTCATAGTACTATTTTCGTGTTAATAATAAAACTTCACAGTGAGAAGAATTTGAAAAGACTTTACAGACTGACCCTTTGCTTACAACGTTGTTTTTCAGCTGATGATATTCTATCAGTAATATTTTTTATTGCATTGGGTTTTCAACATTGCTATAATTTGAGAGCACTCCTAATGCTAGGAAGATACATATATATGATTTTACATTTAAATTTCTACTTTTTTTTCAGGTATGACAGCAGTTATCTGTACTTACCCTCTTGACATGGTGAGAGTACGCCTAGCATTCCAGGTGAAAGGGGAACACACTTACACAGGAATTATTCATGCATTCAAAACGATTTATGCAAAGGTATTTCACATTTACTTTTCTCACCTATATTGTGCCCCCCTCTTTTTTATGTAAGCTCCATGTTCAACATGGGGCTTGAACTCTTGACCCCAAGATCAAGAGTCTCAAGCTCCACTGATAATTTGAATGTTATTTAAACTATTTTGTTTACAGTTATTGATATTAATAATAATTATGACACATCTATGTTTTGGGGGGGTTCCAAAATAATTTTTTCATTGGAATGTATGCTTTTGTTTTTTGGTATTTTCATACTAAGCACAATGTAATCTTACTTCTAATTTTTCTTCATTCAAAAGGAAGGAGGTTTCCTTGGATTTTACAGAGGCCTGATGCCCACTATATTAGGAATGGCTCCATATGCAGGTATTTTCAAATTTGGCAGAATCTTGATCTTTTATTCTTTTCTAAGAATGATTTTTAAATTTTAGCATTTTGTATTCAAGTCCTTATTCACTCTGGATTTATTTTTTTCTTCCTTGAGGATAATCATTTGATCGAGGACCATTTATTAAATTAGCCCCTCCTTTCCCCAGTGATCTGCAGTGGTACTTCTAAACATAATAGGTGCAGTTTTATGAATCTTTATATTTGGTAGGACAAGTCCCTTTACCTTTTTTTTTTTTTTTTAAAGATTTTATTTATTTATTTGACAGACAGAGATCACAAGTAGGCAGAGAGGCAGGCAGAGAGAGAGGAGGAAGCAGGCTCCCTGCTGAGCAGAGAGCCCGATGCGGGGCTCGATCCCAGCACCCTGGGATCATGACCTGAGCCGAAGGCAGAGGCTTTAACCCACTGAGCCACCCAGGCGCCCCACCTTTTTTTTTTTTTTTTTAAGATTTTATTTATTTATTTGACAGAGAGAGAGAGATCACAAGCAGGCAGAGAGGGAGGCAGAGAGAGAGAGGGAAGCAGGCCTCTCGCCCAGCAGAGAGCCTGATGAGGGGCTCGATCCCAGGACCCTGAGACCATGATCTGAGCCGAAAGCAGAGGCTTCAACCCACTGAGCCACCCAGGCACCCCTTTTTTTTCTCTCTCACTCTTTTTTTTTTAAAGATTTTATTTATTTATTTCACAGAGAGAGAGAGATCACAAGCAGGCAGAGAGGGAGGCAGAAAGAGAGAGGGAAACCTTTTTTTTTTTTTTAAGGAAAGTAAGAACTATAGATATTCTGTTATTCTATGCACTTTTAGAATCAGTTTTTGATATGGCACAAAAACCCTTGTTGGGATTTTGAATGAAATTTTATACAGATCTTGCACATTTTTGTTAGATATATTTATAGATACCATATAAGCTGTGTTGTGTCTTTTAGAAAATTGCATTTCCGTTTGTTGTTTGATTTAATTTTATCTGACCTTATAGCTAGCCATTATCCTACTTATTGATATTATAGCCAGCCACTATGTTACTTATAGATGCTTTGGGGTTTCTGTGTGGGAAATTCATATCCTGTACAAATAATACCATTTTTCTTATTTCCATTCTAATCCTTATTTCCTTATTTATTTATGTTTATCTTAACTTACTGTAACAGCTAAGGACTTACAGTACAGCAGTGAACAGAAGTGAAGTTACTGGGCATTTTAGCTCCTTAATGATTTTAAAGGGACTGTTTGTAATACTTCTTTACTTAGCATAATGTTCATATATGGCATAAAGGAAGTTTTGGTAAGAATTTATGTGAATTGATGTTGAATTTTATCAGACACCCTTTCCTACATTTATGGATGTGATCATATAGTTTTTTCCTTTAATCTGTTAATATGATGAATGGTCTTAATAGGTGTTCTAAGATCAACCCAAATTGATTATGACAAAATGACCTTTTTATGTCCTGTTGAATTAAGTTTGCTCATTGTTCTTAGAAGTTTTACATCTGTATTCCTAAATGAGATTAGCTTGTAATTTTCTTTTTGTAATATCCTTTTGTGGTTTGGGTATCAAAGTTATTTAGGTCTTACAAATGAGTTGAAGAGAATTTTCTCATTTTCCATCTTCAGGAATAATCTCTAATAAAATGATTAGAATTGTCTGTTTTTTTGAAAGTTTTCATTGTGGATGATTTTTATTTATTTATTTATTTATTTTAAAAGATTTATTTATTTATTTATTTGACAGGCAGAGATCACAAATAGGCAGAGAGAGAGAAGAAAGGAAGCAGGCTCCCTGCTGAGCAGAAAGCCTGATGTGGGGCTCGATCCCAGGACCCTAGGATCATGACCTGAGTTGAAGGCAGAGGCTTTAACCCACTGAGCCACCCAAGCACCCCTCATTGTAGATGATTTTTAAATACTGGTCTAATTTCTTAAATGGTTGTAGGACCATTCAGATTTTCTATCTTTTGTGGACCATTTTCGGTAATTCATACCTTTCTTTACCATTTTGAACCTGACCCTTTTGTATTAGTTTCCTTTTTTTTTTTTTTTTGACAAAAGATTTCCCTTATTTCATATTTTTTTACATCTGTTCTATTGTCCTTTTTTCATTTTTTTTGTTTAATCATTTATTAGATTTTTGCAAAGAATCAGTTTTGGTTTTTGTTTTCTTCTCTAGTCTACCTTTATTTTCCATTTCATTGATTCTTACTCATTTCTTAATTATCTCCTTCTTCCTCAGGTTTATTCTTCAGCTGGATGCTTACCTCATTCATTTTCATCCTTTGGGGTTTTTTTTTTTTTCCTAATAAAGGCTTTCCCCCCGCTAAATCCTACTTCAGCTGTATCCCATGAGTTTATTTTATTCATTGTTTTTACTTAAAATGTGGAAATTTTCAAACATGTTCAAAAGTAGATAATAGTATACTGAGCTACCATGCACCTAGCACCTACCTTCAACAATGATCAACTCACTACCAATCTTTTTTCACCTATGCCCCTAAATACTCCCTCCACTCTCATCCCAAATTGTTTTAAAGCAAATCCATTTTATTTCATCTACAGTATTTCAGTATTCAGCTCCTATCTATGCTTTTTCTTTTAAAGCATAACCATACACTTTTGGTTTTCAAACAAAATCATGAATATTTGCCTAGTGTATTTTTCAGTTTTTTATTTGCTACTTTTTCATGTCTTTGTGTTTTAGGTATTCCTTTTGCAATCATTATGTAACTGGGTATTTTTAAAAATTTGTACTTGTTTCTATACTTTGCTATTTGATTTCTACCTGTGGGCTTTTCTTTTTATGTTTTTAAAAATTTCTTTCTTGTTTGCTTATTTTCTGAACTCTTACCCACTGTTTTGTATAAATTTACTTGTCCCTTTCTATGGTCGTTGGTCTTTAATTATGATCTTAATCTCCCAAGTTTCAGACCCAGTGATTCCATCTTCTGCAGACCCAGTGGCAAGATCCATCTCAATAGCTTTCTGCTATTGGCTTCATTATTTAGAGTCACTTCATGTCTCTCATGGGCCCACAACTCCCAAGTGGGCTCCAGCTTATATTTTTGGAAGGCTGTGGTGCTGGGGTTCTTGAAGACCTTCTCAGCCTTTTTGGAAGTCCGGTAGCAATGACAGAGTCATTCAGAGTACCTAGATTGCTGTTATGTTGGAAGCAGAACTTCATAATTTTTTGCTCTATTTTCTTCTCTAAGTTTTTTGTTTTTAAAATATTTTTAGCCTAATTATATATATACATAATTTTGTTTCTTCATTTTTCCCCATTTCCCAAACATTTTTCATATGTTTGAATATTCTTTACAAATGTCATTTTTATTAGTTGTGTCATATTTCACTGAATACTATTCCACATCATTTAGATATTTCTAATTTTTTTAACTTACTTTTAACCTGCAATTAATTTCCTCATTATGAGCCTTTTCAGATTTTAGATTGTCTTTAAAATAGACTTCCCAAATATAAAAGTATATGAATATTCTAAAATTATATATCACCAATTCAAAATATTGTAATAAGAATTTTGTATAAAGAATAAATGTATATATTGAGGTATTCGCCTAGACTGAATTTTTGTTAGTGCTCATTTCTTGTTAAGCATCAGGAATATTTTAAATATCTTTTATAATTTAGTAGATATCAAGTTATCTTGAGTAATGTTTAGTTATTAGAATTGCTTGAATTCTATTCTTGATTTTGTTAATATAGACTTTAATGGGTCTATTATAAAATCATGTAAATGTTCAGCAAGCACCAAGTACATGTTATTGATAAATTAATATTTATTAGATTTCACATGTCTTGTGATACAATATGAACATTTCTTTCATGGTTACAACTCTGCCCTGAAGACAAAATTAGATGCTGAGTTAAAATAACAATTCTTTGTCACTCCTGAAGTTTTTTTTATCTTATCACCATCATTGTTAATGTGAATATAAGTTGTCATATTTACTTGTAATTATTAGTCATGAATTTTAACTTTTACCCATGTGAAACCTTGGAAACTATTTAATTCTATTAATATATAAAGTGGCATTTATAACCAACTACTGCCTTTATTCAATAAACTGAAGTATATATTAGTGTATGAAAACCATGGCTATACTTTTTATAGGTGGTTATTTTGTCATCTTTAGGTTACTTATAAATGTTAATTAAACCTTTTTCTTATAGAATAAGCCAAACATCAGAAATCAGGAAATGTATAGTTTGTTCCTTGAGTTAATTGTTTATTATGAAGAATAGTGTCTTTTTATGACTCATGTAATATTAAGCATCATGGTGAATCTATATTTTGTTTTTCAGGTGTTTCATTTTTTACTTTTGGTACCTTAAAGAGTGTTGGGCTTTCCCATGCTCCTACCCTTCTTGGCAGACCTTCATCAGACAATCCTAATGTCTTAGTTTTGAAAACCCACATAAATTTACTTTGTGGTGGTGTTGCTGGAGCAATAGCACAGACAATATCGTAAGTTTCTTCATCAACTTAATTCAATCTAATCGCAGTTTCAGTCTTGATTTTCAGCATTAGTTAATCATTTTATTTTTTCTAATAGATAATTTAAGCACAGGATCCCTTGCAAAATATAAGCTGTAATCTAATACATTTTTCCAGATGTAGCACTTTAAGCATGTTGTAAATAATTAGGTGCCAAATTGACCAAGTTAATTTGAACCCATCCAGATTCCCGTGCATTCATTTAAAAGAAAGAAAGAGGGGCACCTGGATGGTTCAGTCCACATAGCGTGTGATTCTTGATCTTGGACTTGTAAGCTCGAGTTCCACATTGGGTGTAGAGATTACTTAAAAATAAAATCCTTTAAAAAAATAAAATAAAATCCTTAAAATTTTTTTTTAATGAAAGAAAGATAAAAAAAGCAAGATAGAATTTTTAAGTATGGTCATCATACATATTTTCTTATGAATTTGCCTTTATGAGTTTCTGAAATCTGAGCTCTGTGTGTGTGTAAGGAGACACTTCTCTTGCACTAAATCTTGAAGGGTTCTTTTGTGCCAGGCAGTGTACTAGACTATAGGACTTTTGCTGAAGGCAAAACAAAGTTATTGCTTCAAAAAGCCTATATTCTTAAGACAGTGGCAATACAATAGAATTATATCTTAATAGAAGTTGTGGGAATATAGACAAAGGTATTACTATATTGTAATTGGGAAGGTGATTTCCAAGAATTTCCCAGCCCAAGAGAGATTGATCAAAGAGGCTGGCACACTAGGAAGCAGGAACTTTTCAGACACAAGAAGAAAAGCTTTCTGTGACTTGAGGAGTATCGTGAAAAATAGGAAGTAGTGTCACAAAGACAAAAAAGAGTATCCGGGCGCCTTGGTGGCTCAGTGGGTTAAGCCTCTGCCTTCTGCTTGGGCCATGACTCTGCTCAGTGGGGAGCCTGCTACCCCTTTTCTCTCTCTCTCTGCCTGCCTCTCTGCCTACTTGTGATTTCTCTCTCTCTGTCAAATAAATAAATAAAATCTTAAAAAAAAAAAAAGAGTATCCAATGGTAAGGAAAAGTCAAAGTAAAATAAGTACCAAAATGTAAGGTGTTTATTAGATTTTACAATGAAAAGATCACCTTTGCAAAAGCAGATTCAGTGTACCTTTGTGTGGAAGCCAATTGTACGAGGTTGAAGGTCAAGAAGAAAAGGTGTATGATTTATTTTTATAAACCTGACTGTGGAACCTTGCTCATTTTCAGAAACCCTCCAGCTCCCTGATTCTCTTCTTGTTTTTACTGCCTTTTTTCTTTACTACTCACTTCCAATTTAGATCCTTAAAATTTGTCCTTTCTTTCCCACTTCTTTGCTTAAACTGTATTCTGTACCTTTTGACTCTTAGCAAATCCGAAAGCTCCCTTTCAGTTCTTTTGCTTCCTTTCAGTTGTTCTAGTTCTGGGTTTTTGTAACAGTAACCTCTCTCGGTATTTTCTTTGTTCATATCCTCATCTTGCTACCTATTCATGTTGATTTGTCAAGGCCCAGCCTGACTTTAGTCCTCTGCTCTTCCCATGAATACCTAGAATAGCTCATCTATCTTTATGGTTTCAGTGGTCACTTCTGCACAGATAACAAATTCTATTTAAGTCTTTATTACTAACTCTCCATTACTTCTCTAGCAAGCTCTTGGATGTTTCTACTTGGACTTCTGCCATCAGTGCAAACTCCATAGTCCAGGTAGTACTTTCTTCTCTTCCTCTTGGTGACAATCTTCAGCTCCTAGCTTTCTTATTCATTACTGATAACTATTAATCTTCTAGCCCTGGTAATATCTTGAAATCAATTTTCACATTCCCAATTATCACTCTGTCTTATTTTTTACTGTAGAACATTGCCCAATGTGCTTTTTCTTTCTGTTATTTCCCTTGTTCTACTCCCTGTACCTGGTCTTCTTCCATTCCCTCCTTTCTACTAACCAATTCCTGGTACTCACATACGTCTTCCCCTGTTTGGAAACTGAATCCTTCAGGTTGAGGTTTTTGTCCCTTAATTCTCATAAAGTTTCTTCCTCTTACTATCCCCCTTAAAAAAATAATTCCTGGAGATGCTATTGAAATACATATGGAGCTTTAGTGACTGGTAATGTTACTTCTTAAACTGTTCGATTAAAAAACACGGTTTCTTTTCAATTATAACATTTCATTGAAAATAGAAATGTATATAAAAGTATATTATTATTTTTGTTATATATCATTTAGGTATATAGTATGTACCATGGAAATCTTTGAATAGGAAAGTAGAAAACAGCTTTGTCACACTGGAGCATGTCTCTAAGATTCAATTGACTAATGTTGGGATAATAGTACCTACTTCACGTAGTTGTGAAGATACAATGAGATAATTTACATAAATTGTTCAGCATAGGACCTAACACGAGTAGTCAATATTAGCAAAATAGAAGTAATTTTAAAAAACCACTTGTGGTCCCACTCCTATAAGAGATTACTTTTATAAATTTCATTTCAGGTAATTTTTTTTTTTACATAGCATTTTCTCTGTCTTCTAAATGCAATATGTGTATTGTTGGTTTTTGTCCTTAAGGGAAAATTTTTTTGGTCTACTATATACTGGGGGACTTGCTGAATACTCATAGAATAGTGGTTCTCATCTGGGGGTGATTTTGCCCCCAGTGGACATTTATTAATGACTGGAGACAATTTTGACTGTCACAGCTGGCATGTAGTCAGCAGAGGCCAGGGATGCACTTACAGCACAGGATAGACCCCGCACAATTAAGAATTACCCAGTCTAAAATGTCCATAGTGCCAAAGTTGCCAAGCCGTGTCTTAGCTTCCAACAATGAAAAATACTCAGTTTGAATCTTCAGAAAGTAGCATTTAATTTGGCCTTGAGGAACGAATAGAACACTGTGTTGTAATGCTGAGAGAGAAGAATCATCTAAACCAATGGAACCACATAAGCAAAAGCAAGACCTTATGGGCTTATATACGGGCTCCCAAAACAATAAAAACATAGGAACACATTCTTTTCTAAGGAAATAATATATAGGGCTTTGTATTCAATAATTGTTGAGTAGAACACTAAAAATCATTTTTAAGTCCTGCCTTTTTCTTCTAGCTACCCATTTGATGTAACTCGTCGGCGAATGCAATTAGGAACTGTTCTTCCAGAGTTTGAAAAGTGCCTGTAAGTTCTCGTTCTCTGTCATTGTTCATTTTCTTTAGGAAATGTAATGTTTAAAGTGAGTAGGGAAATAGGACTATGGTCTTACTAGTTGTCCAGATATTATTATGAAATAGTGTTGCCAGTAAATATTACAGACATAGTCCAAACAAAATAGATTGGACTAATGAGCCTGGCAGTTCTGTGTATAATGCTTGTACTTGTTTGGAATGAATTGCTGCTTTATTGTGAATTTTCAGGTTGGTGGGTTTTTTTGTTTTGTTTTGTTTTGTTTTTAATATTTTATTTATTTATTTGACAGAGAGAGATCACAAGTAGGCAGAGAGGAAGGTGGCGGGAGTGGGGAAGCAGGCTTCCTGCTGAGCAGAGAGCCTGATGCAGGGGCTCGATCCCAGGACCCTGGGATCATGACCTGAGCCAAAGGCAGAGGCTTTAACCCACTGAGCCACCCAGGTGCTCCTTAAAAAATTTTTATTATGGGACACCTGGGTGGCTCAGTGGGTTAAGCCACTGCCTTCGGCTCGGGTCATGATCTCGGGGTCCTGGGATCGAGTCCCACATCGGGCTCTCTGCTCAGTGGGGAGCCTGCTTCCCTCTCTCTCTCTCTCTGCCTGCCTCTCTGTCTGCTTGTGATCTGTCAAATAAATAAATAAAATCTTTAAAAAAAAATTTTATTATTATATTATTTTCAGCTTATTTTTACACTTATTTTCTAAAAGCTATTTAAGATGGCATTTTGGCTTCTTTTAAAAATGCTGTTATGGGGTACCTGGGTGACTAGGGGGTTAAGCCTCTGCCTTTGGATCAGATCATGATCTCAGGGTCCTGGGATCGAGGCTTGCATAGGGCTCTCTGCTCAGGAGGGAGCCTGCTTCCCCCTCTTTCTCTGCCTGCCTCTCTACCTGCTTGTGATCTCTCACTGTGTCAAATAAAAAAAAAAAATGCTGTTATGGGAGGGTTGGCGCCTGGGTGACTCAGTTGGATAGGTATCTGACTTTGCTCAGGTCATGATGTCAGGGTCCTGGAATTGGGCCCTGTATCCATCCAGGCATGGCGCTCAGCAGGGAGTCTACTTGTTCCTCTGACCCCACTCATGCTGTGTCTCTCTATCAAATAAATAAATAAAATCTTTTTAAAAAATGCTATTATGGATCCTGAAATTGTCTCTTCATGAGTGGGTATAATGGTTTTGTCATTTAATCATTATCTTTCAGTACCATGTGGGAGACTATGAAGTATGTCTATGGACACCATGGAATTCAAAAAGGATTATATCGTGGTTTATCTCTTAATTACATTCGCTGTGTTCCCTCTCAAGCAGTGGCTTTCACAACATATGAACTTATGAAGCAGTTTTTTCACCTCAACTAAAGAAAATCACGTTTTCTTTTTCTTAATAGAATTTCAGAGGGAGAAACAAAATGTTACTTTAATTTTGGAAGGAACATTACTTGAAGGGGGATATTTGCCTTGTCACAGGAACCACTGGTTTTTTAGTACTTGATTTTTTTTTTTATTCGTCACAAATCAGAAGTGCTTACTGTGCTTTTTGATGCCAAATGTTATACCTTAGAACATTGAAAAAAATTCCTAAGCTGATGCTGGCTAATCAGTTAGGTTATTTGAAACTATTTTAAAGTGTTACTTGGAAGTAGAACTAACTTAAAATGGGATTTAAGAGGTTGCCATTAGCTTTATCATGCTTTAATTCCAAGCTTTAATTATAATCATGATTTTCAAAGACTCTACGATTGGTTATTATAATTACAATAAATAGGCTTGGTTATATGCAGCAGAATGGTGAAAACTGAATTTTTAAGTTATGTAAAACATAGCTTGGGGGGTTGGTGCTTGGCTGGCCCATCCAGAAAAGCATGTGACTCTTAATCTCGGGATCATAAGTTTGAGCCCCACTCTGTGTGTAGAGATTACTAAAAATAAGAAAATTAAAAAAAAAACTTACAAACATGTAGTTTAGATGCCAGCATTGAAGATTATTCTTATTATCTCTTTTCTCATAATTCTGCTCCACTGCATAAAGGGACTGACACTTTTCTCTTTGTTTTTAAATAAAATAAATGTTGTATTTAAAAATTAGCCTTGTAGAAACTCAACAATAAATGAAGAATTTTCAGGTATTGCTCAAATATTATCACTAGGTACTAGGTACTATGACTGACTTAAATTTGTTTTTAAAAGTCAATGTATTTCCCAAAGGCAGTAATAATAAATACTGAATATCTTTGCTCTCAAAACAGATTAGCATTATAAATTTGTTTTTGTTAGGTGATTTGGTATACACTAGAAAATTTATTTAAGTGGACTGTGAAATATCCATTAATATAAGATGTGTATGTCAAAAGAATGTAAGGTATTTTGTCATGATATATCAACTAGTTCTTCCATGTAAAATAATTTTAGTGCAATATAACCTTAAGTAGAAATGTAAGACATGATTTAATTCTTTATGTTAAAATGGTTTAAAATATAAGAATTCCATTTACTGTGTTTTGATTACCTTTTATCTTTTATTGTAAGCATGACAGAAATGAGAAGGGAACAATTATGGTTCTGTCCTCAGAAGTAGTGATTTGTAGAATTGATGTGATTCTTTTTGATCAATGCAAACTATTTTAATTGTTCTAACTTTATAATTTTTCTATTGAGGTAAAATTGACATATAGCAATATATTAGTTTCAGGTGCACAATGTAATGATTCAATATTTGTATTTACTGCAAAATAATCACCACAGTAAGTCTAGTTACCATCTAGTTGATGTATTAGAAAACTAAGTTGAAAGTGTTATTTCTGCTTCAGTTTTAATTTTGTTTACATAAAAGATTTTTTGTCATAACTTAGTAAAAATTAGATGAGCTGGTTTCATTTTCAAAGTCTTTATTTTAAAATGAATATGTATCTTTGTATGATTTGTAAGTGTACCCACAAGTAGAAATACATGTGTTCTTAAAACTATTTTGTATATTTTCATTTCTGGGCTACATTGTAGCTAAATATTGTTATCAAATCTCAAGATAATTTAAATGTATGAAATAAGTATCTCAGTTGTGTTATCAATAAAAGAGGACTGCAAATATTTTTTTAAATAAAAATTTGCATTCTATGTCTATTATAGAATACATAGGATATTAAAAATAAATTTTATTTGTATTTTGGCCATTATTTCTCCTTTTTAACTGTTCACATTATTAAAAAAAACTGTTCATTGTTGTGAATAAACAATGAATGTTGGAACACTGAAAAAATAAAATTCAATTAAAAAAAACTATTCACATCATTGAAGCACAAATGCTAAACGTAAGTAGTTAGAATGTAAGAGTATTTAAAATAGTGACTGTATTTATTTGATTTATTTCAGATTGATGACCCAAAGTGTATCTTGCCAGGTTATCTTCCACTGAGGATTGACTGTTTCTGTTTTGATTTCCACTATTACTCTTCCTGCCTTTTGTGGGAATAGCCCTGTGATCTATAGAATGGGACAGACCACTGTCCCATAGGGATTGATAAGTGAGTTACCACTCCTAGCTCACAAGGGTATGGAGTTAGAAAAGTTAATAGGTATATATAATAATATCTTACCCTCTTTCCCCTCTGGGTATTCAACATCCATCTGTTCGGCACCCATTGTGTGTCAGGCATTATGGATAGCTTACCTTAGGAAGTCTGTTAGCTGTACTTTCAGTCCGATTTGGATGTCGAACAGCATCCAACATCAGGTATTTCTCTAATAGAGTATGTCCTACACTTCATGGTAACTGCTTGTTTACCTATGTCCCCCGAGATGGTTCTCTCAAGGATTGAGCTCTGCCTTCATCCCCTATAAGGAGGACAGGGTGAGGCACCATAATGGATGCTAAATGATGTTTATTGAAGAAGGATGGCTCAGTCCATGTTTTTGGAGACTTTATGTTCAGTGGGAAGAAATAAGGCACATGGGAAGAACAATTTGAAAAGACAACCCTGAAATCAAGACCTGAGCTGAAATTTAAAGAGTTCAGTACTGAAAGATACAGAGAGTGTCTTTCAAAAGTAAGGATGGAAAAATTCTTAACAACATAGCAAATCAGGCACCTGGCTACCTCAGCCGGTAGAGCATGCAACTCTTGGTTCTGGGGTCATGAGTTGGGTGTAGACATTACTTTAAAAAAAATTAAATAAATAAAGTAGGCAACATACTAGCAAATTAAACCCAGTGATACATAAAAAGTTTATTATAGTATAATCAAGTTGAATTTATCCTAGGATTACCAAATGGTTTAACAATCTAAAGTCAATAGTGTGATTTCCAGTAATAACAGCATAAAAGAGAAAATCCTTCAATGGATGCAGGAAAAGTACTTGGAAAACTCACTATTGATTCATTATATAAACCAGTAACATTAGAACAGAAGAGACCTTCCTCAATCTGATAGGGGGCATTTTGTCAGATTACATTTTGCAACAATACATTCCATCTCACCTGCTCTTCTCATGTGTCATTAACACTCATCCCATCAAGAGGTAAGGACTATGTGGGGTACCTGGGTGGCTCAGTTGTTAAGTGTCTGCCTTCTGCTCAGGTCATGATCCGGGAGTCCTAGGATCAAGTTCCACATGGGGCTCCCTGCTCAGCGGGAAGTCTGCGTTTCCCTCTCCCACTCCCCCTGCTTGTGTTCCCTCTCTCGCTGTCTCTCTCTCTGTCAAATAAATAAAATCTTTTAAAAAGAGAGAGAGAGAGGGCGCCTGGGTGGCTCAGTGGGTTAAGCCGCTGCCTTCGGCTCAGGTCATGATCCCAGGGTCCTGGGATCGAGTCCCGCATCGGGCTCTCTGCTCAGCAGGGAGCCTGCTTCCCTCCCTCTCTCTGCCTGCCTCTCTGTCTACTTGTGATCTCTCTCTGTCAAATAAATAAATAAAATCTTTAAAAAAAAAGAGAGAGAGAGAGAGAGACTATGTTCACCTCTTAAATTTGGCTTGGTGCACCTAAGACTACAGTGGGAGTAAGGCTATGTGACTTTTGAGGTTATGTCACAGTGCTGAGATGGCTTCTTTTGCAATTCTTGCTCCTGGAATCCAGCCACCATGCTATTAGGAAGCCAAGCAGCCTCTGCAGAGAAACTTACAGTCAGCCTCAACTTACCAGCCATTTGAGTAAGCCATCTTCAAATCGGGTTCTTCAGTCCCAGCTGATGGCTTTGTGGACAGAAACAAGCTTTCCCCACTGAGCTCTGTCCAAATTGAAATTTCACAAGCTAAAAAAAATTATTGTTGTTTTAAGACACTAAGTTTGGGAAGTTTATTTTGTTTTTATGTAGTATTAGATAACTGTAACAGTTACCCATGAAAACCCAACAGCTAGCATCATACTTCATGGTGAAATATTGAATGCTTTCCTCCTAAGAGCAGGTAGAAGGTAAGGATACCAAGTGTCACAACTTCTATTTAACCAATGAACATAGGTAAGAAAATGAAATAAAAAGCATAAAGAGCAGAAAGGAAGAAGTAAAACTCTCTCTATTTGTAGATGACATGATTATTTACATAGAAAGTCTTAATGGACCTATAGCACAATTTCGAGAAATTACAAGTGAATTTATATCTCAGGATATAAAATAAATGTAAAAATATACATTTTTTAAAAAGATTTTATTTTCATTTTTATTTGCAGCCCCTGCTTCCGTCTAAGATTTTATTTTTAAGTGCTCTCTACATCCAATGTGGGGCTTGAACTCACAACTACAAGACCCAAGAGTTGCATGGTCCACCGAGTGAGCCAGCCAGGTGCCCCTAAAAATATATATTTTATTCACTATCAGGAAGCAATTTAAAAGCAATGTTTTAAAAAGATTTATTTATTTGACAGAGAGAGACAATGAGAGAGGGAACATAAGTGGGGGGAGTGGGAGAGAGAAGCAGGCCTCCTGCAGAGCAGGGAGCCTGATGCAGGGCTTGATCCCAGGACCCTGGGATCATGACCTGAGCCGAAGGCAGACGCCCAATGACTGAGCCACCCAGTTGCTCCTGAAAAACAATTTAAAAGCAGTTTCATTTGGAGGTACTTGGCTGGTTCAGTCCGTAGAGCCTGCGACTCTTGATCCCATTGTGGTGAGTTCAAGTCCCACATTGAGCATAGAGCTTACTTAAAAAACAATTCAGGGGGCACCTGTATAGCTCAATGGGTTAAAGCCTCTGCTTTTGGCTCAGGTCATGATCCCAGGGTCCTGGGATCGAGCCCCGCATCGGGCTCTCTGCTTGGCAGGGAGCCTGCTTCCTCCTCTCTCTCTGTCTGCCTCTCTGCCTACTTGTGATCTCTGTCTGTCAAATAAATAAATAAAATATTTTTAAAAAATTCAGGAGTGCCTGGCTCCCTCAGTCAATTGGTGGAGCATTGAAGTCTTGTGTGGGTTGTGAATTTGAGCCCCACATTGGGTATAGACATTACTTAAAAAAAAAAAAATCTTTAGGGGCACCTGGGTGGCGCAGTCAGTTAGGCATCTGACTGTTGGTTTTGGCTCAGGTTGTGATCTCAGGGTCATGAGATCCAGCCCGGCATTGTGCTCCATGCTTAGCTTCGAGTCAGCTTAAGGATTCTCTCTCCCTCTCTCTGCCCCACAAACTCATGCGCTCGCTCTCTCTCTCTCTCTCTCTCTCTCGCAAATAAATAAATAAATCTTAAAATAACAAAACAAACCAAAAACCCTTTAACGTACCTGGGTAGCTCAATCAGTACAGCATGTGACTCTCGATCTTGGGGTTTTAAGTTCAAACCCCATTTGGGGTATAGAGATTACTTTAAAAAAAATCTTCAAAAAATAATAAAATCTGTAAGTTAAAAAAGGAACACAAGAAAAAAACTATTTTTTAAGAGATTTTATTTATTTATTTGACACAGAGATCACAAGTAGGCAGAGAGGCAGACAAAGAGAGAGGAGGAAGCAGGCTCCCTGCTGAGCAGAGAGCCTGATGCGGGGTTAGATCCCAGGACCTCTGGACCATGACCTGAGCAGAAGGCAGAGGCGCCCCAACAATTTAATTTATAATAGCATCAAAAGTATAAAACATTTCAACTTAGAAAAAGATGTGCAAGAGCTCTACACTGACAATTACAAAATGTTGCTAAGAGACATTAAGGATCTGTATAAATGGAGAGATAACCCATGTTTATGAATCAGAAGACTATAGTGTAAAGAAATTAATTTTTCCAAGTTGATATATAGATCAAATGCAATCTCAATCATAATTCTGTAGGCTCTTTCTATTATTATTATTATTTTTTTTTAAGATTTTGTGTATTTATTTGAGAGAGAGTGAGACAGAGATAGAGCATGAGCAGGGAGGAGAGGGAGAAGCAGGCTCTCTGGTGAGTAGGGAGCCCCAGGTGGGACTCAATCCCAGGACCCTAGGATCAAGACCTGAGTGGCAGATGTTTAACTGACTGAGCCACCCAGGTCCCAGTCCCCC